AGAGACAGAGCATGAACCGGGGAGGGGCAGAGAGAGAGGGAGACACAGAATCAGAAACAGGCTCCAGGCTCTGAGCCATCAGCCCAGAGCCCGACGCGGGGCTCGAACTCACGGACCGCGAGATCGTGACCTGGCTGAAGTCGGACGCTTAACCGACTGCGCCACCCAGGCGCCCCGAAACAGACTTTTTTAAAAAAATTTTTAACGTTTATTTATTATTAAGAGACAGACACAGAGTGTGAGCAGGGGAGGGGTAGAGAGAGGGGAGACACAGAATCTGAAGTAGGCTCCAGGCCCTGAACTGTCAGCACAGGGCCTGACGCGGGGTTCGAGCTCAGGAACTGTGAGATCATGACCTGAGCGGAAGTCGGTCGCCTAACCAACTGAGCCATCCAGGCACTTAAGTATAGAGAACAAACTGATGTTCTTAAGTATAGAGAACAAACTGATGGTTACCAAAGGGGAGGTGGGTGGGGGTGTGAGTGAAATAGGTGATGGAGATTAAGGAGTGAACTTGTTGTGATGAGCACTGAGTAATGTATAGAAGTGCTGAATCACTATATTGTACTCCTGAAACTAATATAACACTGCATGTTAACTATACTGAAAATAAAGAACTCAATTAAAAATCAATTAGTAATCATCAAGAGACAAAAAGATGATTTATGACACAGTCACACAGTGATATGGGAAAACACATACTACTAACAAGACACACAGTGATAAAATATATATGAAAAGTATATATAGAAAAAAAAAAACCCAACAACCTCAAGGTAGCTTCTCAAGCTGAGCTCAACCCCATCCCAGGGCTTTTGTGTTTGCTGCTCCTTGTCTGGTGTTCTTCCCTCGGGCTGTCCTCTTATCTCTCAGATCCTTGTTAAAATATTATCCTCTCGGAGACTACGGTCCTGTCTTCCACTTTCTCTTTCCTCTTTCCACTGCTGCTAATGTAACCACCTTCACTCACTCTCTTTCAATTGTGCAGTTTTCTTTTTTTAAGTTTATTTATTTTGAGAGAGACAGAGACAGCGCCAATGGGGGAGGGACAGGAGGCAGACAGAGAAAAACACGCAGTCTCTGCACTACCAGCAAAGAGCCTAATGCAGGGCTCGATCCCATGAAACCACGAGATCATGACCTGAGCCGAAACCAAGAGTTTGACGCTCAACTGACTGAGCCACCCAGGTGCCCCTATAGTGCTAATTTCTTTATAGCATTTGGCACCATCTGAAATTGTTTAAGATTTAGAGTCTGTGTCCCACATACACAACAGAATGTAAGTTCCAAGAGAGCAGGAACTTTGCTTTGGGTATGCTATCCTTTCAGTGCCTACCACAAAAGATACTTGATTAATATTTGTGTAATGAATAAGGAATAAACAAATAACAGTATAACTCTAACTAACATCTGCAGGGAAAAGATGAAGCTTAGGAGGTAGAAGGGGCCAGGAGGCAAATGCTTTAAATACCAGGTGAAGGAATTTAGGTTTGGTTTTTAAAGGCTGAGAAGTCCCTGACGGTTCCTTAGGCCAAGGAAACAACTCTATCAGATCTACAGTTTAGGAAACCAAATTTCAGTGCCATGCAGGAAGATATGGAAGGGGACAGATGTGAGATGAGACCAAACAGGACCTGCTTCAATGGTCCAGGTAAAAGAAGACAGAACCTCAACTGAGGGCAGAGAGCAGGAGGACACATTCAAAAAACATTCAGAGGCAGTGGGTGTAGTTGGCAGATATGAGCAGACAAAAAGTAAACAAGAGCCAAAGGTCAAAAGAAATACACAAAACCATTTCTGACAAACATTTATCAGGTGCTAATGAACACCTCGTGCTTTTCAGAAAGATAAATACATCAGAAAAGTGTCTTCTAAGTCTGGCTGATGTTCTTCTCTCGAAGGTATCGTGGGTAACAACTAGTGTTCCTTGGTGTCTGAAACACCTGAGCCTAAGGCTCCAATAACCAAATCCAAAAAGAGTTATAGTGGCTTTAGTGCTTGTATATCAGACATGTGGTTAGACCAGAATCACATTAACAGGGCTCCAAGGCTATCGAGTTTCAGGCTTCCTGTGAAGGAAGAGGACCTGACTGAACACAAATGAATCACAAATGCCAGGAAAGTGAGCAGAAGGAAGAAGGTACTACCAGAGACTACTGGCGTACGTTATGAGCTTCCTCTAATAATCAAATGGTGAAATAGCAAACTACACTTCAGCACAGTTGATGTATGGCCCCACAATATGTGGTACTCTGTATATGTCTATGTGAATGGTGTTCCCTAGGGTTGTGCAGGGTATATCCATACACAGGAGCCCTGAGTGCCTGGTCACACATATTGAAGAGTTGAATGAATGAATCAAAATCAAATTATATAGGAGATATATAGGAGAATCATAGTATAACAAGATTACAGGTGTGACTCATGGATCCAATCAACCATCTCAAGAAACTGCCAACTTAGACTGAAGGGGACAGAGATAGGATGAAATGAAGGAAGGTTTTCAGACCTCTGGGAGTCTATAGGATAGGCCAAAAGAGCTATCAAGCTGCAAATAATGAGGTGTTATTGTTTCCATAGCCAGGATTCATGGGCACTGAATTCAAAGTTAAAATTGCCACCCGACCACTTTGGCCTCCCCGTGCCTCTAAATCAACAAGCAACGAAGGGAGTTACTGTGTTGGCTGGGGTGATCCCAATTACCAAGGGTAAATTGAACTGCTATTCCACAATGGAAGTAAAGAAGACTATATCTGGAAAACAGGAGATCCCTTAGGGCAGGTCTTAAGTATTACCATGCCCTGTGATTAAGGTCGATGGAAAACTACAACAGCCCAATCCAGGCAGGACTACTAATGGCCCAGACCCTCAGGAATGAAGATTTGGGTTACCCCACCAGGTAAAGAACCACATCCAGCTAAAGTGCTTGCTGAGGGCAAAGGGAATATGGAATGAGGAATGAAAGAAGGTAGTTATAAATACCAGCTATGACCACATGACCAGTTACAGAATGAATATTGTAATTGTCATGAATATTCTTTATTTTGTTATAAATATGTGTGTATCTTTGTTTTCTTCCCTCTCTTATCCTCTTGTCATGTAACATGAGACATGATGACTTTATATCATGGCTTTTGAGAATGGTTAGCTTTATATCAGAGTATTTAAGTAACAGGATATCAAGAAGAAGAGTAAATATCATCCAAGAACTCTGCTTCCTCTTCTGGGAAAAGGGTTAGTGTATTTTCAGTGGTACACTAGATAGTTGTATAGTATTAGGCAGGAATATGGCCTTGTTATTATCTTTCTACAGATCTTAAGCATGGTTTAAGGAGATGCATGAATGGGTACCAAGTTGACAAAGAGGGGACATGTTATAGCTAATGTTTATAAGTCGACTGGATTAAGGGATACCCAGATATTTAGTCAAATGTTATTTTGCATATTTCTGTGAACGTGTTTTTTGGATGAGGATGATATTTAAATTGGCAGACTTTGAGTACAGCAGATTATTCTCCATAATGTTAGTGGGCTTCATCAAATCAGTTGAAGGCCTTAATAGAAAAAGGCTGACTTCCTCTGTGGAATTCTGCCAGCAGACTGCCTTGACCTCAAACTGCAGCTCTTTCCTGAGTCTCCAGCTTTCCAGGCTCCCCCATCAGAATGTGGACTTGCCAAGACACCACAATCACATGAGCCAATTCCTTAAATATATCTCCATATGTCTCCTCCCTCTACCTTTCTCATCCTGTTGCTTCTGGTTCTCTGGAGAACCCTTATACAATAGCTTTGGCCTATATGGGTTCTTCCCATTCTGGACTTTATACACACACACACACACACACACACACACACACACACACACTTAAATATATTTATGTCTCATATAAATATATTTATATATGTTTAATTTATTTATTTATTTTTTTTTTATATTTTTAAATTTTTTTTTTCAACGTCTATTTATTTTTGGGACAGAGAGAGACAGAGCATGAACAGGGGAGGGGCAGAGAGAGAGAGGGAGACACAGAATCGGAAACAGGCTCCAGGCTCTGAGCCATAACGCCAGAGCCCGACACGGGGCTCGAACTCACGGACCGCGAGATCGTGACCTGGCTGAAGTCGGACGCTTAACCGACTGCGCCACCCAGGCGCCCCTATATATGTTTAATTTATATACAAGTTATTATTTCTATGTTTAAGTATATATTTGTATATATAATCTCTATATAATCTTGCCATTGTTCTTTTTATTTTTTAGACAAACAACCCAATTTTTTTAAGTTTATTTATTTATTTTGAGAGACAGAGAGTGCACAGGAGGGGCAGAGAGAGAGAGAGAGAGAGAGAGAGAGAGAGAGAATACCAAGCAGACTCTGTACTGTGACAGTGCAGGGTCCAATGTGGGGCTCGATCTCACAATCCTGAGACCATGACCAGGGCCAAAATCAAATCAGATGCTTAACTGACTGAGCCACCCAGGCACCGCTTGCTATTGTTCTTAAGTTGTACTACATTTAAATCTTTTCTTCCTAATTAGACAATTTGTTTCAGGACCAAGATCACAGCTGAAAACCCTTTGTCTTCTCCCCTCATCAATTCACAGCACTTCTTAGGTGCTCAAAATAAGTTTGCTGAATCGAACTGAGAAACAAGAAGGATACTATACTAGAACTACCTAGGCTCTTAGAGAGAGAGAGAATTCTTCCCTAGGAAGCAGAGAAAAACTTTGTTGATTGTACGAAGGTTTCTGCATGGGAAATTAATTACTGGGAATTTTAAGTCCTCCCAATATGCCTAGCCTTAGCCCTCCAGCTCCTCCTAGGGAACAATTTGGCTCGGTAACTCATTACTGGTAACCTCGTGGCTATTTATATATAAATCCGTTTTACTTTTGCATCATTTGTGCACCCCAATTCTAAGGGAGGACACTGTTTCTGACTACCCAAGCATTGCCCCATCACTCTCAAATAAAATCTTTCCGTTGCCAGGCCACTTACATCATACTTTCAGGTTCTACTGCACAAGCACCAATTGCTTTTGTGACATTGACAAGAAGAGCTTGGTTTACTCCAACGAGGAGGTTCACGAGTGGTGGAATGCCACCACATTTCCGGACAAGGACGCGATTTTCATAGTCCTGACAACATTCTCCCAATGCACCAACCACATTCACAAGTACCTCTTCGGGCTGGTCAGTTAAAAGTCCCACCAAAGTTTCAATGGCTTTGTATTCCCGAAACCTAAATTCATCAAGAGAAGAAGAGGGGGGGGGGGGAGGGGAGGAGAAACAGTATTACTTTTGGTATAATTAGCTAATAACATTAAGAGCCCAAAATTACTAAATGCCAACTACATGCTCATACGGTCTATACAAAAACTCTATGATGCAGATACTACCATAATCCCCATTTTCAGAAAGCTAATTCGAAGCCTGGTAAATAGTGAAGCTGGTTTCCACTTCCAGCCATCCGTGCCATTAATCACTATACTGTATGGTCTCTAAGACAACTACCAACTTCTTCCAAATCAGAGTGTCAGCAATTCTACTATGCTATGGGTGTCTGCCCCATGTCACAGAGACTATTTTACATGAACAAAGCAAAATAAACCTATCTTGTGTTAAATAAGACATGTGAATTTCTTGTTAAAATCATCACAATGAGACAAGGAAGGTTGCCTCAGAATATCCACCACAGAGTGTGAGAACCCTAAAAATATATGAAGAGACAAATCTGAAGATTAAATCAGTTATAAAGTTTACAAATACTTTAAAATTCAATGAAATTATCTGACAGTGGCTACACAGCCCTTGAGCTGGCATTTAGCTGACTCATCTTGTTTAACTTTAGAAAAGCAAAAAGAATGGAACCACTTCCATCTCTAAAGATTCAGTGGGAATTCATCCCCTCACCTTGATAGGTCTCTGCAGGAGATCAGAGGTACTTGTCATTTAAATGGCTGCCCACAAGCAAAAGAGCCCATTCACACAGATAAGATTATGTCAGCACATCCCTTAGCTTTACTAAGTGAGGCACAGAAAACCACAGCCAGGTGGTGGGATAGGAAGTAGAAGTCTTTCATTTCTAAAAATCCTTAATACTGCCAAATTAGTCTAGAACATAAATATATGGAAACTATACGAGTAGCATTATAATTGATTCTTTATTAAAATAACATTACGGGAATGTGTTTCAATGGGCATATTTTTTATGCATCTATACTTTTATTTAGAAACATTTATATCTTAATGAAAGATGTTTTAGTTGAAAGTTAAGAATACAGCTATTCCTCGATGGCCATATTTTTATTACAGAATATTGAATGTCTTCTCTTACTTGGTCACATTCTCTTTGCTGATGGAACATTTCCATATTGCCCCAGTGACAGCAGCCAACCGTTCTTTATTGTCCGTGTTATCGAGCAGACTGGCCAGGCGTTTAAGACCTCCGTGCAGTCTAACGAGATCACGGGTTTCCTTATCCTCAGCACACTACACACAAAAATCAAATCAGAGGCTCTCAGCGATCAAAGCATATCAAGCTTTCTGTAATTGCTAAAGAGGCTGCCATTTTAGTGGCGGTGAAACTTCTTTTCAAAGAGTATCATTTTCTGAAGGGGCCTCCAAGTAAAATCTAATTCTTCTCTGTACTGGCAGCTATCTGACACTGTCTCTTTTCCCTTACATAATTTTGGCCGCGTCTAGCAGTTTCTACATACTTAGAAATGCTGCCAAGCCAATTCTGAGGTAACCTGGGCTTCCACCAAGACAGAAACAGAGATTGGTTGGTTAGAAACCTAGAACACCACATGCGTGGACAGAGGATTTCTGCAGTGATGCAACACACAGTCTTGGGAAAATGTAGCAGAGAAAACACGAGTGATACGGATTTAGTCAGAGCTTCAATGACCCCCAAAACCTAGGAGATGAGCATTTCCTCAATAGAGTTTCTATGCCCAGAGCAGTAAGTTATAGCAATAGCAACTGACATTATATTCACATATGTTTATCCACATATTTGTGTCATCCTTTGAAATAAATACGTACTACATAGACGTTCCCAGCTGATCGTCCTTCCCAGGTTAAAGAGCAAAAAGATGATAAATTTAGTATAGATATGCTATCATCCTAAGTATACAGTTGGTCTCTGAGGCCATATGATACAGATGCATGTCATGGATCATCCATGAGGGCCACTAGAAGAAATCCTCATTGTAATGCACCACAAGGCACCTGTCAGGCTTTTCTTCTATTTATGACTTTTGCTTCTGGTTCAGTTCCAGCTTTAGAAAAAATAATCACTATTTCTAACCAATCATTCATAGTTACTCAGATAAGGCTTATATACGCAAGTCAAGGCTATATATCCTTGTTTTGAACTGAGTTGTGTTCCCTCAAAGCTCACATATGTCAAAGTCCTAACCCCCGTACCTCAGAATGTAAGTTAAGGTCTTTAAAGAGGTAATGAAGGATAAATAAGGCCACTGAGGTGGGCTCTAATCCAATGTGACTGATGTCATAAAATATAAGGACACAGAGGAAGGAACATGTGGAGACACAGGAAGAATGGTATGTGAACATGAAGACAGCCACCTATAAGCCAAGGAGAGAGTCCTCAGAAAGCACCAATGCTGCGGACACCTTGATCGCAAACTTCTAGCCTCCAGAACTATAAGGTAATAAATATCTGTTATTTAACAGGCCACCATATGGTATTTTGTTTTGGTATTTTGTTTTGTTCTAGCAAACTAATACCATCCTCTACTGACATGAACCCCTTTTTCTGACTCTGACTTTTTGGCATACTCTTACTGTGCACATTTTATTATCAATCTACCTACCTACCTACCTATCTTTACATGTTTATTTTTGAGAGAGAAAGTACAAGTGCAGAAGGGCAGAGAGAGACAGGGAGATGCAGAGTCCAAAACAGGCTCCTGGCTCTGAGCTATCAGTGCAGAGCCCAATGTGGGGCTCAAACCCACAAAGTTGGTGTTGGACACTTAACCGACTGAGCCACCCAGGTCCCCCAATATGCACATTTTAAATGCATTCCTCTAGGAAATGGACTCTGATTTCTCGGATAGGTAGAAGCTGGCATGGCCAGCAACCAGCCATCTACTAATTTTTCGAAGCCATCTTTACTTCTAATCTGTTTTCTGGTATACTATAAAATGTATAGCTCACAAAAAGTTAACAAAGGTTAAAGTAAATTAATAAAAAGATAAAACAGGAATACACACACACACACACACACACACACACACACACACACACATGCAAGCTCACACTCATTCATCCATCCATTTTGTCTTGGTAGAAGATAAATTTCTCAACTACTATGTTTGAATAGGGTGCCTGTAAAGCAATGTAAAGGCACCATGTATATATTTTCCTATTTTACACTAAGTAATTTGTTTTAGGAGAGAAAGACATGTAAGTGCCTTCTAGAAATGTAAATAATCAAGACATGTTGGTGCAGGTTTCTCTCTCACATATACAGGCCATCTGTCATTAGCACAGGACAGTGGTTCTCAGACCTATGTGTACAGGAAAATCCCTAAAGTGTTCTTGTTAAAAATGCTGATTCCTGAGTCCTGCCACCAGAGAATGAGAACCCATGTTTAGAAACACCACCTTAACTACATGGAGAAGAAGACCACAGCTGCCCACAGAGTCCCCCCGCACCTGGTAGATGGCCATGGCACAGTGTTCCTGCAATTGTTCGTTCTCACTATTTAGGTTCTTCACCAGATTTTCAATGATCCTTTCTGCTTTGATCGCAGCTCGGTAGTTTTCCTAGGAACACAAATTTAAATATTTATGTGTGTAAGACACGAATATTAAGTACCTATCTATACTTACTAATAATTATGCCAAACAAACTTTCTTAATAAACACTAAAGTCCAAGGTTAACACAACTATATAAGAAGAGAATTTAGTCAACATTTTCAAAAATACATCACACGGGTACCAATTTAATTAATGTTCTGTTAGTTTCATCTTCTTTAATAGACTGCTGACTTCTCAAAAAAAATCCTTAGCAGTCATGATAACCTTGAAAATTATTTTTCAACTAAAGAAAGTCAAAGTAAATGAAAGCAAGGGAAGCAGAGCTGGCTTGAGTACCTCTGATGCACATTCTTGCAATGTCCCTACCACTGGAATTAGCATGTTTTCATGAGACGTCTTCAGTAAGCGAGCCAACAAAGGAATGCCCCCAGCTTTACGAATGGCTTCTTTATTTGTGTAACTCTTACTGCAGCTCCACAATGCCAGAGCCCCACAGCGAGCCACTTCCACGTCTCTGGCATCATACAGACTCGATTGAGCCAGTTCTGCTGAACTCTTTCCACAGTCGAGTAGAGCGACCTACAAGAATAGGTGAATATGATGTACATGGGAATCTTTAAAATAAAACAACATATCCCTCAATAGCTACAGGGTTGCTACCAAGATAATCTCCATCAAAAATAAGAATCCTTTACTGGGCACTTGGGTAGTTCAGTTAAGTTTCAGACTCTTGATTTCAGCTCATGTCATGATCTCACAGTTCATGAGTTCGAGCCCCACATTGGGCTCTGTGCTGACAGTTCAGAGCTGCTTGAGATTCTCTCTTTGCCCCTCCCCCTCTCATGTGTGTATGCTCTCTCTCAAAATAAAATAAACTTAAAAAACAATAAGAATACTTATACAAATTAACTTTCATACTACACATGAAAAACAAAGAAACAAAACCCTTCAAAACATCTTCCTCCAAGTTTGGGAGTGTTTACATTTCCTTTCTATAAGAAATTTAATCTCACCAAGATTGTATTTTCTTAACATAGCTATAATATATGCATTAGGAAGATTTGTAAACTACATCCTCAGTCCTGGTATCTCAGAAAACTAGAGTCTCTAAAGCCATTAGAACTTTCTGTGAGAACTGAATGGCTTGTATATTCTTAAAACCATGTGACCTCTTTGGAGGACATGGCTCCCCACCTGAGCTACCAAAACCAACCAATCCACATGGCACAGCTGCCAGGATCATTTCTTTCCTTTCTTTTCTTCTTTTTATTCCTTCCTTCCTTCCTTCCTTCCTTCCTTCCTTCCTTCCTTCCTTCCT